TATTCTCGGATGGCATGTGTTCTCTCTGCAAATTTAATTTTTGGGCTTCAACAACTGTTCAGCGGTTAACCAGCAGAAGTAGCCGCTACGCTGCAGTGGTACGATTGAAGCTGGTGGAGGAATATCTGAACTCTCTCTTTGCACTGGTCTGTGCACTACTCCTCGACTCAGCGTGTGCTAGGTGAAAATCACGAAAAGTCCTTCTGGCCGGAACTTTTTGAGCTAGCTAAGCTCTAACTCTTAGTTTTTCAGGTGTTCTGAGCGTCCATAGGAGACCATACGGTACGATTTAATATCGTGTTATCGCCCTGTTTGAATGATACTTATGTACATATAATAAATGTCTAGAGGACCCCTCGCAGGGTAGCCACCTAGCCCAATGTAACCTAAACAGTGATGACCAGGCTTAAGTAATTTTGTAGATGTCTAAATATGAAAGTAAACAAATTTTGGTATTTAAGAGTTTGCTAAATACTTAAGTAAAAGAAGAATTGTGGAAACAATGTGATTGAAATTACTTCATTTCGGAGAACGTCAAAAAATATATTTTTTTAAGATCCTAATATTAATACACAACTGAAATGTTAATAAATATTAGAAGTGTCGATTTTGGCTTTTGTACTAATGTCATTGATTTAAATTCCCTTACAAAAGAGAATATTCTCAATTGACATTAATTCTAATGACATTATTGCACATCACCTGGAGATGTAAAATACTTTCACTGAAGTACTAGATGGCTAAATGCTTGCAAACTAAATAATTTATGATTTAGGAAAAATTGAAACAATTACCACCCTACCTACCTACCTTACACGCACCTCAACTTATCTTACCACAACTCAGTTCCCCTCACCACAACTCACGTTAAATCAGATCACCACACACAAACTTACAACATCTAAACTCACCACAGCTAACTTAAGCGCGCCACACCTCAACTCACCTCACCATAATTTAGGAACTATTTCGTAGTTTTGGATTATTACAGAAATTGATCTGATATTGATAAATTTATCGATTTTTAATCTATGTATTTATCGATATCTTTTCCTTCTAGTTGTGTATATGCATTTAATGATATAAAAATCGATGTTGCTATCGATTTATTTATTAATATATTCAACGATATTTTTCTTGACATATTTGTCGATGTATTTATTCATATATTTATCAATATATTTTGTCTCGAGACAGCCGAACTAGTCCCTAGAATCCTGAAAAATGTCGAAGCAGACTGAAAAATCTCGAAATAGTCCCAAAAAATCCAAAAAATTCTAGAAACCCCAAGTAGCTTCGGAATCGCGAAATAGTTCCGAAAGTCCTAAAAATCCCGAAGTTTTGATGTATTTATTGATCTGATATTGATAAATTTATCGATTTTTAATTTATGTGTTTATCGATATTTTTTCCGTCGAAGCAGTCTCAAAAATCTCGAAATAGTCCCAAACCCCCAATAATTCTCGAAACCCCAAAGTAGCCTCGGAGTCTCGAAATAGTCCTTATAATCCCGAAAATTCTGAAATATTCCTGAAAACTGCGAAGTAGTCTCGGAATCCCGAACGGAATCCCGAAAGTCCTAAAAATCCCAAAGTATAATCGAAAATCCCCAAATAGTCTCGAGAATTCAGAAATAGTTCCGTGAATACCGAAATTTCTAAAATTCTTATAGTGGTCTCGAAAATCCCGAAATAGTCCCTAAAATACCGAAAATCCTTAAATAGAGCCAAAAATGCAGAAATAGGAAATACCGAAATGGTCTCGAAAATCCTTATCATCCCGAGCAGTCTCGAAAACCCCGAAATTATCTTCACAATTCGGAAATTATTTATAGCTTTAGCAAGTATTTAGTATTTAATCAAGTCATAAGTAGTTTGGTAATTGGTGAATCTATAAATACTAAGTATTTTTGTGTCCACTATTTAGTAAAGACTCTAAATACTTTGGTACGCGGTAGTTAGTGAAGCCAAAGTCTCGACGTTCTTCTGCACGCGGTGTTGCGTTAGGTCAAACTAACTAAATACTTTTAGACTAAGTATTTTGCGCTCTGAAAATAAGTATACTCGGCATTTAGTAAAATTAAAAATACTTAAGAATAGTACAACATAAATACCTAACTACTTTTGTGAGTACCTAGTACTTAATAAAAACAATTTTGCCCATCACTAAACCTAACCTATCGTATCGTCATCTGCAAGAATATATTGATCTATTTTCAGCCGCTAGTGATTTATTAAAAAGTAAATTTGCGGTCTGCAAGAGATAGCCATAAATAGAATTTACAATAATTACAGTGAAAATTACAATTAGCAAGCGCGACAAAAAACCCATTAACCGCACCAATCAAACCTCTTCCAAGCCATTTACTTACTAAAACTTATCACAAATAGACGTAAGCGTCTCAAAATTAACATATTCCTCATTTGTTTTTGTTTTTGCTTTGGCATAGTATTTGCAATTTATTATTATTATTTAGTTTAAAACAGGTAGGTACGATAAAAGTGCAATTTGAAGGCTGTACACACAGCTTACAAAAACAACAACACGGCAAATATACACATGAAACCCCACCGCACGGCTGCTAAGCGCCGACGATCATTGACATTGATAAGTAAGTGCTGATGCCGCACCTGACTAAAACGCAAACGCTGTCATTAAGCCGGCTAGGTTTATAGCTTCCGAGCTGGAGAGCTTCCTAGCTACTACATAATTTGCTTATTGATGCTTACCTTTTTGTTTGAGCTTGCAAATTAGCCGGCTAACGCTGGCTAAGCTTCATTTTTCGCAGCTGCCGTCTGTCGTCGATAGCTGTGGTCGCTCGCTCGGTCACACCTGCCTGCGCATCGCTTATGCAAGCCAAGGCATAGCGAGAAAACCCGCCTTCACTACTAATGAGTTGGAGCGCTTTGCTGCGCGTCATACGCCGCGCCACACCGGCCGCGCAAGTGTACGTGCGCTCGAACGTGAGTATCTGCGTAATTGCTACGCATTTGCATAAAGCGAGTGAGGGGGGAAAAAAATTAAAATTAAAATAAATAAATAAAAAATTAAGTTAAGCAAAAAGTGAACGCGTACAAATCATGTTTACAAATCGGAAGTGTAAAGGCGGCAGGCAGTACGACCGCGTTCGGCCGAATTACTCATCGAGGAACTACTTAAATCGCTTTGAAGGCGAACGAAGGCATCATTGTGCCATTAGAACTGCAAGCGTTAACAGCACGGCAAGCGTTTTGTGTATTAAAACAAGTAAAAACCGACTAAAACAAATCTAAACAGGATGAAATTCGTGCTCTCATTGTGCTTTGCGGCCTGTTTGGTCGCCTCATTGCATGCCGCCGCTGTGGATACTAAGAGTACTACCGCGCAGCCAAAAGCCGCTGATGCAGATGCAACGACAACCGCTGCACCTACGGCGGCCTCAGATGTGATTGAAGGTTTGTACTTAAAAATTATTGATGAATTTTAACAAAACTTTTATAAATCGTATTAGAAAGTCCTTATTGAAATGTTTCGTTTCCTTGCACAGAGTGCCATCAGCCCAAAGAGACCGGTCGCTGCTTTGCTCTCTTCTATCGTTATGCCTACAATGTAGAGAGCCGTCAGTGTNTGCCATTAGAACTGCAAGCGTTAACAGCACGGCAAGCGTTTTGTGTATTAAAACAAGTAAAAACCGACTAAAACAAATCTAAACAGGATGAAATTCGTGCTCTCATTGTGCTTTGCGGCCTGTTTGGTCGCCTCATTGCATGCCGCCGCTGTGGATACTAAGAGTACTACCGCGCAGTCAAAAGCCGCTGATGCAGATGCAACGACAACCGCTGCACCTACGGCGGCCTCAGATGTGATTGAAGGTTTGTACTTAACAATTATTGATGAATTTTAACAAAACTTTTATAAATCGTACTTGAAAGTCCTTATTGAAATGTTTCGTTTCCTTGCACAGAGTGCCATCAGCCCAAAGAGACCGGCCGCTGCTTTGCTCTCTTCTATCGTTATGCCTACAATGTAGAGAGCCGTCAGTGCGAGGAGTTCGTCTATGGTGGCTGCAATGGTAACCAGAACAATTTCGAAA